TGACAGCAAGAATTCAGCTCCTAGTTCTGTCATGAATCTCCCAAATGCCACAGAGATCAAGTGAGATAAGAATCCAGAGTGCTTTGCTAGAATCTTTGTGGGGGTGACTTTCATACTTGTGTATTAATACTCATGTTTTGAACTAAGAACAGTGGTGTGAACCTTGGAGGGGAGATGTCAGGCCTTGAGCAACCTGGTCTAGTAGAAGGTGTTCCTGCCCAAGGCAGGGGGTTGTAACTGGATGATCTTAAGGTCCTTTCCAACCCAAAGCATGTTATGATTCCAAGATTCTATGTCTGCCAGCTAGGAATCACCAGAGTTAGAACCAAGAAGCACTGGTAACTTCGGGAAGGGAAGAAAAATAATCTAGACTGTATTTTTAGCTACAATGTGAGCTCCTTTGACATATGACATTCATCCTACCTTATTAGGATCAAACTACGAAAATCTGAGGCCAACTCTGCCATAGCACATAGTAACAGGCTGAACATCACCCCATCTGCTACTGATGGGCTCACCTCTGCCCCTATACGCACGGTGATGGGAGGCTCCCATGCGTACAGAGGCTCCCTCCAGTGGCAGAGGCTACTGGGAGGACCTTGTCAAAGTGCTTGTGCAGTACACCTATATTGCCAGGAATCCCTTTGCCATGCTCACTTTTCCCACTGGAGGGAAGTTTCATGCATCAAAATGCCAAACGCATTTATATTAATTAAATCCATCAGCATCATGGTGTTTATGACACGACGCATTTATGACATTAATTATTCTTATTTTATGAGGAACTCGTAAAGATGCCCTGGGCTGTGGAGCTTATCAGGAATATTCTGAAGACATCAGGAAATGAGATTCCAAAAATTCACAAACATCTGTTACTATGGAATACATGATAATTATTTTATGTTAATAGCAATAATATCCCAGTGGATTTAGACTGCTCTGACCTATGCAGTCTGAAATATGAAAAACATTTAATCTACTCATTTTAAGCTTCATAATTGGAGATGGCTTCATCTTTATTTAAAAGATAAATCTGTGACAGTTTTGCTCTTTAAAGTGTTTGCACCAGATACTTCTCTGGCTTAAGAACACATCTGTAACCCTTATTAACATTATATCAGATGATATATCTTTCTAGAGATTTATGTAGGCATGGAAACAAATACTAGGTGTTAGCTTGTATTTCCAATCAGGAAAAGAAATCTTGTGTCTGCTGCCGCACTGTGCACTGCACTGTCTCTGAGACTCCCTGTGCAGTTGTGTTTTTAGCAAAGATAAGTCACCAGAAGTCTATTAATCCTTAGTGTATTTTTAATTCTTAATGAAATCTGTAGAGTAAAACCAGGAAATTTCAAGATGAAAAGAACTTGCAAGTTACCATCTGCATTTTGCATTATTACCCAACTCAGCTTCAGATAATCATAAACAGTGAACAAAACAATTACTGCAACTACAGCAGTAATACATGCAACAGGGTTTGGTTCATAAGTAATTAAGGCCTTTATACAAAGGGTGTCTCAGCTCCTCCAGGCAATCTAAGAAAGGGTATAAATACTGTCTCCACGAAAGGTTTTTCTAACTACTTCTCTTGGCTTGTTCTCTCCGGCGCACTGAGTAAGTCTGATTTGACAACTATAAAAACCTTGAGTTTCATTTTGCTTTAGGATGAATTTTTTGTTAAAATTGGGACTAAATCCTGCATAAATATTCTGACTTTCAGAGACATCAGTAAGCATCTTTCTGCAGAGGCTTTCTATAATAGATAAAGGATATAAAAATAAAAGTAAGGGCTTCTCAAGACTGCTTTGGGCTGTTAATTTTGTGGGAGAATTAGGAATTTCAATCTTAGCTCTGAAATATTTTCAGCAGAGCTCAGAGAACAAATTTTGCCTTTGTTTTGGCTTATCTGGCTTACAAGGGGGTTGAGCAGCTGTTAGGTGGGGTGATTTCATAGACAACTATTGAAGTAAGAATCCTTGTTCAAAGTTAGTTCTGTGTAGTTATAGACATGCAGCACTGTTGTTGTTCATAACCTAACCATCCTTAGCTAACTGGAGTCACAACAAGCTACACCAAGTGGTGATTAGATACTATTACTTAATGTAACTGTGGGAATAAGCACTCATTTCTATTAAAACTCCGCTAGTATTTTAATGTGTTTTAACTGGGATTAAATTAAGCAATTTTTAAGTTAAATCTGTGTTCTAACCTAAAAGTATTCGGGGTAAAATGCTATCCATGTTTTTTGCCTTTTATTTTGTCTTTTCTCCCCAGAATGATACATTTCAGGATAGATTTGCTTTCCTCTGAATTGAGACATGTAAAGAGATCAGAGAGCTCAGTGCCAATTACCCTGTGCTAGCACTTTGCTAGAACCTGGTGCAAAATAGCACTGACCTTCTGAAGTAAAGTTGTTTTCAGGATATTTTTACTTTATGGTTGGCAATATAATAGCTTATTTATCAAAAAGTATTGCTGGCTACATATTCTAGATCCTGTATTCTACCTCTCCATAGACAAGACTTGCTGATTTCAGAGATTAGCTCCAAATTGCCCACCATCAGCTTTAGAAGCTTTCTGCATTTTCTGTTAGCTATTTGTGCTGCAAAGCTGTCTTAAGCCCTACCTTTGTCTTCCAAATGTTCTCAAGGACAGCAGCACACAGGACTTAAGTGGGAGTAAAATACTACTTCTCCTTATTCATCATAATAAGGCATCTTTGATTTACAAGCTTAAAATAGAATGCAATACTATACAACAGAGAACTAGTTTTTATGTGAAGGGTTAATCTGGAAAAATAAATAAACAGTATGTGTTCAACCTTAACTGAAGCTGAAGTTTTCTTATTTGGGCTGACAATATTTCATGTGTCTAACGAAACCAGTTTTTTTTTAAACCCCATTTATTCTTACCTTACAATTTTATGTGTTTTAGTGGAACATTTTAGCACCTGAAAAGAACAGGAATCTGCAAGGAAAATCATGTAGGAAATAAAGCAGGCTGATGATTCAACACTCAAAGCTACTGAAAAACCCAGATCTTTTTCGCCTTGCTCCATCTGTAAAACACAGGCTGAGAAGCTATGTGTGGGAGGAAAAGAAATGCTGTGGGGACAAGTTCAAACTTGTCTCCAGGAAATATTACAAAGGACTGGGAGGTTTCAGAGCAGATATCTCTTTTGGAGGAGGCACACAGAGAAAGGGGAGGGGTTTTGCTCCCCCAGAGCAAAAGAAGGAAAAAGAGCTAGCTTGAAGTAGCAAATTAGAAAGGACAAACAGATGCAAGCTAAGGGAAAGGTGGTAGATACAAGGAAAGGAGCTTAATTACCGTCTTTATCCAAATTATATCTGTCTAAAAATCTCTCAGAGCCACTCTTTGAAGTGTCAATAACCAACTGCATGGATTTTTATTGTTTTTACTAATGGTGCAAATAAATTGCAGGCATTCCCTTACCACGGCCAGGCAATGGCTTCTGAGCAGCTGGCATGCACCAACCCCTGCGATGCCAGGTGTCCCCAACCCCTGGCCACCAGCAGCAATGAGCCCTGCGTCGTGGCCTGCGGTGACTCCCGGGTGATCATATACCCACCCCCCGTCGTTGTCACCTTCCCAGGGCCCATCCTCACCACCTACCCGCAGCAAACCGTCGTGGGAGCCTCAGAGCCCTCAGAGGTGGCCCTGGCAGAGGCTCCCACTGCAGCACCTCTGCCAGCAGAGGTGGTGGGGAGGCTGGAGGCAGCAGCTGAGAAAGTTGCACCCCAAGTCATCGCCCGACCTGAGCCACGGTGTGCCCCAAAATACTCCTACACCTATTCTTCCCAATGGACACATCCATGCAATTCATACCGCTCTGGGAAGCGGTGGACATACTAAGGTGTGCACAGAGTGGTTTAAAGAAGCAGCAAAGGAAACTCAAGATGCAAATTTGGGGTGGAGCTGATGGGTACCAGCCCCAGTGCTGGGTGGTATCTGGCTGCAACTGGGAGCTGCTAATGCTCAGCACCTGTGAAAGACAGGTTCATGTGTGCATTTTCTCATTTTGCCTTTAGTTTAGATCAGTTATCCTCTGGCTTTCCGATTTAGTCATCTGCTTATATTGTGCTTTGTCTTATTTCAGTTATATTATTGACACTGAACTTAGAGTGGTGACTTAGGATGCTAGAAATTGCACACAACAACTGTGATAACGAAGAAAAAACATTTTTTATAGACGGCGTCACTTTGACCCTGGTGATTAGCCAGAGCTTCACTGATCCCCTGGAAAGATGGTGTTTATATTCTGTAAAATTTTGTTCCAGAATTGTAGAAAAGCTGTCACTTTCCAAATAAATTTTCTGTACCAAAGTATGTCTCTGGTTTTTATTATCACATAATCATTTCCTTCTTCTTTCACTTGTCAATGGAATATATAGTAAATTTATCCTTGACCATAGGTATACCATGTTTCTTCTTTGAGTGTGAAGGTCACAAAATCTCAGGAATACTTTTCTACACAATGTCATTAAATATGTGCTGAACATTTGACACTTCCCCAGGAACAACCTGAGTCCACTGCCTGGATCCAGAGTTTGGATAACACATACTTGTTGGTGACCAACTCCGAGTATTTCATGCCGTAATTCAGTATCGTTTTAGGACATACTTCAGATGACAATGCAGCCCCATGATGGGTGCCTATTCCTGCAGCATGCTTAATGCTCTTTGTAGCTCTGCCCACGGCCAGGAGATGTAGGCTTCTCCTGGCCGGGGCTCCCCACTTCTCCCAGCTCCTTCCCCCTCAAACTGCAATAAAAGCTGTCTTGCATCGCAATGTTGACCCTTCTTTTCATTTTATTTCCCCCACATGCAATACCCCAAGCAGCAGCATGGGTTCTCATGTGTGTTCAAGTCAGCTCCCACACATTGCCTTCTCCAAGGGACGTTTGGAACCTTCCTGTCATCCTCTTGCCTTCCCTCAGGAATCACAAATTGCTACAGGAGGGTTACAGAGAGCAGTGACCATGCTCATCTCCACTTCCTGTGGGGTGGCCGCCCCATGCCCGCTGGCTGACACCACCAACGAGCCCTGCGTGCGTCAGTGCCAGAGCTCCTCGGTGGTGATCCAGCCCCCGGCTTCCGTGGTCACCTTCCCCGGACCCATCCTCAGCTCCTTCCCGCAGCACAGCGTGGTGGGCTCAGCGGGAATCCCCGCCATTGCTGGTGGCTACGGCGGGAGGTTTTGGGTGGCGGGCGGCTACGGCGGCAGTTACGGAGGCCGTGGTGGTTACGGAGGCTATGGAGGCTACGGGGGCTTTGGAGGCTATGGTAGCTGTGGTGGCTATGGAGGTGTTGGCGGCTACGGAGGCTTTGGGGGCTGTGGATACGGCGGCTGGGGCCGAGGCCTCGTGTCTTTCGGTGCCAGCTGTGGGAGCTGCTAAGCCC